TAAAATGAAGGGATTTCATATAAAAAAAAAATGAAATGATGAATCACCAATACGTTGGCGGTATCCAAAAGGAATATAAAAAAATTCTGAATTGGTGGTATTTGAAAGAAGCACGAAAGATTTTTTCCTCATACTCTTTTCATAAGTATTATTATTTAGAGACGTATTTAGAATCTTTCATAAAACGTTTCCATTGTCGATACCGTCGCTTTTATGTCGAGTCCTCGACTTTTTATTTCAAATTTACGCTTTCGCCGTGTTTTTTTTTCAATGTCGCCGATAAAAGAGTTCGCTTCCGTATTATGGAAAAATTTTTAACAATAAAGTTACATGATAGAGGTCTGCCTCGAACAACGAGGAATGTCTGAAAGATGAAAAAAGTGAGAGCTAACTCATACAAAAAGAGATTATCATTAAATTAAGTGCCAGTGACATGGAGACATTCTCTGTACGGAGGTTGAGAGATTTTACCACAAGATTTTATTGTGGCACTATACGACCTCTCTTTCAAACGAAAACCTATATGTTCCCGTTTGCCTTCCCCTGCACTCACGCATTAAACGTGCGCGGGGAAAGGCGAAGGGCCGCGAGATGAAAGGGCAGCTCTCCGTGGAGAAGCGGGGTAGCGAAAGTCGTATTCGATCCGAAGGGACTGCCAATCAGTCATCTTCCGCCCGAGGGTGATTTTGTTCACTCGTTCAGACTGGAGGGAGGGAGGGGGGCGGGTGTCAAGGGTCAGCGATATATATATTGGACCAAGTCCCGCGACCTATTGTCACCGAGAAAAGGGAGGAAAGACGAAGCAATGAGAAAAGGATCCAAGTTCGAAGTCTCGAATTTCAACGTGCTCGCGTACGGATTTCTTTCTGGAGGGATAAAGACGAGGGAAAGATTTACCTTTCGTCCTCGAGGGTATAACAACTACTTCTCGACGGAACGACAATTATCTCACTGATTGTAGCGCCGAAAATACCGTCTTAGTAGATCTTAAGCATAATGGAAACTATAAGGGAACTAATGAGAACTATAACGAAAACTTTATCAATTTCAAGCTCCAACAGCTCCGCACGATAATTTAAACTTTATACCCATCTAAATACGAGCTGCGAATCAGTTAATAATATTCGGGCGACAAAAGACGAGCTGATACGTCAATAATGTGTTCAATTACAAAATCCTTCTTTTGGCACTAGAGAGGAGAGTGAAAGAGAGATAATATATAATTCCACGGATAAATCCTTCATATTTAAAACGAAGGTTACACAACTTGTATTTTAAAGCTTGTAATCGAGAAAATACATTATAATAATCAGATAAAATCACAAAGGATTATTTATAGCCGCGAACGACTATGCGAATGATAATATCAAAACAATATTATACGCAGCGTCGCGCGCTACATTACGTGGCGCACGTGCAAAGTGTGTCACCTGCCGATGTATCTGCATTCGACGGTGAACTGCACTTCATTCATCTCGCGCGTGACTCCACGGATTCCAACAGCTTTCTCACGCATGTGAGCGCGCACAAAACAAGACACACCGGCGACGGCGCCGATTGCACGTGTGACTATTTTCGCCGCCGCGCCGCCGAGCGTCCGCCACTTTTTTTTTAAGCGTTATGCAGCTTGAGTCACGTTAATTCGCTAACTCGTACGTACGCGGCCGCGCCGGACACATCGAGCGGCGCTAATACATTATGTAAAGCCTCGAGACGATTACCGGTTGAAGTCTAATTATGTATGGCACGGCGAAACGTTTTGTTTGAGGCCGTTGTACTTACGCTTCGAATGCCGTCGTAGTTAAATGCCTGCTATCCCGGCAGACTTTTCTCGACGTAAACGATATAGCACTGGAAATCTTATTAATTTAGCGGCAACGATAAATTAATAAGTTAAATTAAACCGATAAATAAAGCCTGAGTAAATCTTTTTAAATACGAAAGAATTATTGTATTATCTATTATCTCTTTAATATATATTTTTTAATATACTTTGTATAGGAAGAAAAGTTTCTACATTTATATTTATCCTACATATAAAACGATTTTTACGATAAAGATAATTATACAAAATCGGCGATGTGGACACAAAATTAAATAACCGATTATAAAACTTTTTATTATTACCTAGATATTTTCATGATAAATGGCGAATGGTCGCTTTACGGGAATACGGAGGACTTTGCCTCGCTGAAATTTATCCAAGTTGAAATTTAGAAAGCTAATGAAAAAGGAGAAGAAAAGCCCTTTTACAGTTCTCTCGAAGTACTTTCAAACGGTCCATCCGTCCGTCCATTCAATTTCCTGCGAGTTATACCGGACCAAGATTGTCGCGCACCGAGAAACGATAGACAGGTCGACGTGCTGGTTTCTGTCCCCCCCCCCCCTCTTACCCGCTTGTCATCCCTTTCCAGCGATTTCCAGCGGAAAGGGATTCTTTGTTACCGTCGTTACGCGCGTGTACATCCGCATGACCACGGCCAAGGGCCAGTGAAATGGACGTAGGTCAGTTATGCGAAAGCCGCTGTGCCGCGCGCGATAAAATCGCGCGTCCGCCGACGCCGCACCGCAGTAAAATATCATTTATTCCCGTAATTATCGCGCGCGCGCGCGCGCGCGCGCGTGTTATGCAATTAACATGGGGATGTATAATGCATGAGCGTCTCTGCATCAATGCCGATGGCCGTCTGGATTTTCGCACGCGGCGCATACGAGGCGAGTATATCCGATAAAGGCGTAACGCGCGGGCTGCTTCACGAAATCAGTTTCGCATGTGTACACGCAGATACATATCCCTCGCATCTGAAAACGAAACGCGCTCGTTGCCGTTATAATTATATTCTTTGTACTGGGAAAATGTGCGATCTGACGTTTTTCCACCAGTGAATCACGTAGACAGCGAAAGCATGTTCCTTCAAAGGCCCATTAAAATCTAATTTCATTTTAATTATCTTTTCCCGGTGGGATGCTTATCTTTGGTGGTTGTATCATTAATGTTATATTTGCTACTCAAGGAAGTTTCCACGCATGAAAATTTTGACCTGAACGCCTTTTTTTTTTCAAAATTAGACTGAAAGAAACAGCACGTGAAAACAACACATGTTCTGTTTCTGCAGAGAACACACATTTGATACTATTAAGTATTGGGAGCATTTAGGGATCATCACAATTCCATTAACAGTTAATGAGGCTGTAGTTGTCCCCCCAAATGTGTTCCGGAATAAGAATTTTAATTTTACACGCACGTGTCAGCAAGCCTCTCGTTAGCTCGCATGCCGCTTTTAGTTTTTGTACGGGAAACCACGCAGTCGAGTTCAGTATGCGAGCGGTTTTCGGCAAGATGATTCAATAGGCGAGGAATGAAAGGCGCGAGTCGATAAACGACGTTTATGTCTCTCCGCCGCTCGCCAGCGGGGGAACCCACTAACAGACTTTTACGCACTACGCTACGCGCGTTGCGTAAAACGGCGCGCGCTATCGTAACGTGGAAAGGTCAGTGTCTCTTTCTCTCTCGGCGGGGACATCGTGATTCGCGGCGTGACGGACGTTGCCCGAAATATCTGCCAGGCGGAAAGTCTGGGAGAGGAAGATCGACGATCGCCGCCCGGCTTTATCCAGCAGGCGCGAGAGAACGGCGTCGGCGAATCGTCGTTTTTTTCCTCGTTTTCGGCCACTTTATAGCCGACCGGATAATTTACGGCTACTGATACGCGACGAAACGACCGCGTACGCGGACTTTTTGCGCGAGACGAGGCTGGCCCGTTCGCGAACGCGAGAAAAGATGCGTGCTCGACGGTTTTTAACATGCTTTTTTTTTTTTTTTTGAGAAGTTACAATAATGCGGAAAATTACGGGACAAAACGTCATTGTTTGCGTGTTTTATTTTGTGTTTTTACAATCGTGTTTGGCGGCAAACGCGGACGTCTGATCTTTGTTTTGCACTTACGTTCAATGGATTCGACGTAGTAAACATAAGCTTAGTAAGTCGAAGAATTGGAATGTTTGGAGAATACGAGTCTTTACCAACACACAAAGTAATTCTGTCTTGATTCGAAGCGTTATCGTTTCTAACAGTATATTATAGTGCGTGTCTTCCACACGTCTCTTGTTTGTAAATTATCAAAACAGGTCGTTGAGCCGCGAGGTGGAATCTCCCAAATGGCGACGACGGGGCCAGGCCGATTGGCAATGTCTGGGCCTGTAATTAGGTTTGCGTTGGTGGTAACGTCATTACTCGGTAAGCTTGCAATTTCCTCGTGGCCGCCGCTGCCGCCGCCGCCATCGTCGCTGCTTGTCGTCTCCAACCGGTTCCCTTCGTGGCGCTCCGCGGTCGCCACGAAAGCTGTTTGCTTCTGGACCGAGAGCGATCGACCGACCACCGGACTCGTCCCGCTCGGACCCAGAGGGGAAAAAAAGGGTGTATGACGAGGGGCGACGAGTGATGTGTGTGTATGTGTGTGTATGTGTGGATGAGCCATTCTCATTCGGATAAATTGTACCACCGTTTCGTAACGGGGTGTTGCGCGAGACGACGTACACGGAATTTCTGCCGACATAATGATCAGGAGCTTAAATACAACCGTAACGAGATACCTTGCGTTCTGCTGCATTAAACGCAGTAGGTGGTGTAGCGTCCAGAGAATTTTTGCCGCATTATCGAATCGTATAAACGTAACGAGATTTTGTTACAAATTGTCGATAATTGGGAAATATTTAATTCCCGAGAGTAGATGTAAGAGATATGTAAAGATAAAATTATATGCAGACTGTCCTTATTATTGTATGTTATAAAAGGTATCTTGGTATCGCTAGATATTAATCAAGTAATTCGCCGTTACAATCAATGCGCGACAGAAACACATCTTATTTTAATAACAACAAGATTATTATTCGGGCGAATTTCTTCGAAGGAAACTTCGATACGCGAATTTTGCGAGCGCGCTTCTCCTCCAAGAATTTTCTATTACAATACACTAAACTATCTTCTTTACATATTACAGTGGCGTCGCTGTGTCTTGCGGAGAATGCAGCAGCAGCGGCACCAGCGATATCACAGAACCGGGCTCGCCGTGCAGCACCAGCAGCGACGAAGGGGTAGCTGCGTTACGCGGCACGTCCGCCAGTCCGCTGCCGTCTCTGCCCAAGCTGGCGCCGTCATCGCAGCTCGGTACCAGGCCCCAGTGGCCCTGGACCCCGCCGTTGGCGGCGACCGCCTGCTCCACCACCGCGTACAAGAGGCTGAGGGGCGAACCCGAAGCTGGCGCCCTTCCGCGCTCCGGCGCTGCCGATCCCACCTCCAGGGGGGCCGTCAAGACGAACGGAAAGACCGCGGGCGGCCAACACCACCACGAGTCCCAGGGCAAGATCACGGAGTACTTTAAGACGCAGATTAAACCGCAACAACCGAAGGTTGGTCTCTCGAGATGGAATAATAAATGTGTCAAGAACTATAAGTATTTTATGTGAAAATAACTATAAAAGAGAGAGATTACATATATTGTGTTGGAGGGACCAAAATCCTTGGCCAGAGATTTTTTTGTGAAAGAGAATTCTCAATTACCATAGATGTCCAACTTACAATCTCTTTGTGTTTTGAAAAAAATATGAGTTCTTTAAGGACTTTTGAATAACTCACAGTCGGTATCTATAGTAGGTAGCCACTCTGAACACCGAAGGCATCGACAGATCTTGAATTCTAACAGAGCTGTATGAGATTCTAAAATATTTTAGAAACTTTGGTTTCAAACGCGCAAATGGATAGACGCTCGCTCTTCCTCTTATTCAAACTTCAGCAAAATTTTAATTTAAGGATTGTAGAAATGTTTAAAATTGATTATTGCAAAACTAGGCGGAATGTAACTTTCGTCATTTGTTTAGCGACGTTTGACTTGCGGTTCGTAGAAATCAATCAAAGGAAAAAGTAATATATAGTGAGAGAAAAATGCTTCCTCGATCAAAACCAATGTTGTAACGGAAGTGTTGAAGATATCGACCAGCCTTACATCGCGCGAACACTTCAGATACAAACTCATCTTATCGGCGAACACGCGTTTATCGGATATTGAATTAGCCTTTTTTTTTTAACAAGCCCGCGCGGTATAGGTCTTTTCCAATAGGCTGATATTAATTCGCGGAAACTGCTCTCGTCCTATCGATCGACAATTTAACATGGCACGTTCTCGATAATTCACATCGCACCGTATTTAATGCTAAATATGTCTCGTCTATTTATATTACGAGGGCAATATTAACATTAGGCAAAGCAAATCGCTGCTTACATCGCGATTACAAGAAACAAGATAAATTGTTCAAAGTAAATTTTTGCAATCCAGGGTTTCGCGATAACGGCTGAATTTCTTTTGCTCGATATACACAACTGTATCAATATTGTTCTTATCATGATTTAAACACAGTGATCTCGCTTTAATAGCAAAGAAACATTGTTCTTTCAATGTTATTAAGATATTTACCGAGAAATATAAATCTTTGAATAGTATTGTTACATTCGCGGAACGTAAGCTCACGCACACGGAAGAATCGCACTCGCGCTGTCGCGTTTCACTCACGCATTTCCGTGCGGAAATTAATGAACACGAGTTTATGAACGGAAAGGAACACTTTAATAATAAACAAAAAATGCATAAAAGTGACAGCTTCCAAATCTGCATAGCGTTTAACACCTGAATCTTAATCCCCGGGAAACTCATCTCTCGATTACTCCGGGCTAAATAACTCCCTACGTTATATTTAATATGGACATTCATAAAAAGGCCATTGTATTTTTATGTCTTTTGGAAAAAGTTAAATCACTCTCTCGTTAACTTCTATATAATACTATAGGACAGAATACCTGTGGTAAATAAATAATACTGAAATTTTCCTTATGTTTGTGCTGGTAGATAAAGAAAACGAACGAAATGGTGCTGGCAGCGAAGAATTCGTCGGAATTTCGGAGGCCACCTATGGTGCAGAGGAATAAAGGCGGCCTCGCTAAGTATTTAGGCACCGTGTCGTCCAACACAAATCGCAGTACCATAACCAACGAGCCCTGGGAAGTGAAAACGCTGACGTCGTCGTCGACGATTACGAAAAAGGTACCGCTGGTCGTCGTGCCGAGAGCCAACGGTAAGATAGACAAGAAGCTGCCGAAATCGCTGCCGAGCCTGCCAATCTCGAACGACGTACTGAAAAATCTGCCCAAGATCTCATCCCTTAGGTATAGTTATTCGATTCCGTATTCGCAATATGCTTTAACGCAATAATGCTTTATGTCCATTTCTATCAATGTGAATTTACTTTAATCTGTGGTCAGCTTTCTCCTATATTTTTTTAATTCTTAGAATTAGAAAAAGATAAAAAGTAAGTTAAACTTAAAATTAATCTACATTGGTAGAAATGGACATTATTTGATTAACTAGTCGATTAACTAATTGTAAGCATGGGTGTCCGCAAGGGGAGGCAAAAGGCATTCCTTCCCCCCTCCCCCCCCCCTGGAATCAGACGAGTACAAAAAACTTTAGAATTTGCTCTCTCATTTTTACTTTTCATTTTTTAAAATATGTTTATTAAATGTGAGAGAGCTAAAGTACAACACAGGTACACAACGTTCGGATATTTGCTTCTCGCGGTGGTACGTACTAAAAATTTGGATCATGCCCCTCTCTAAAAAAAATCCTGCGGACGTCCTTGATTATAAGTAAGTTGATTAAGATAATCGTTTGCTAAACGCATATTGAGAGTTTCCCATGCGACATGCGTGTCTAAAAAGGTGCCTTCAAAGACGTATTTCAGACTTCACTAAAATTCCTTTCTGATATCTCAAAAACGTCTCTTAAATCATCTCCAAGACTTTCCGTGTTTCTCGGATTTTGTTAATTAATTCCAAACATGTAATCTTCACATATAGTTAAAAAAGAAGTTGGAACATACTTGGTAAGTAGGGGCTCTTTTCTGATTAATAGACATTTTTTAAATTTTTAATACAGGTTAACTTCGGACGCGAGTATCAATTCGACCAAGAGCAGCACCTCGCCTGCAACTGCCACCCCGTCGCTAATAGGTGATCCGCTGGACTTCAAGGCGATCTTGGCGAAGCCGCACGTGAATGAGAACAACAATCTGACGAACAGCTGTGGAGGTATCCTGGGCGTATTAAGGTCGCAGAGCAGCCACGATTCCCCCATTTCGAGGTTATCTTCGCCGTCAAAAGAAGACAGTAAGGATGAGGATGGCCAGTCGGTGCCGATCGACGAAGACGATGTAGACGAGGAGGACTCTCGAGGTAGCGAATCGAAACCGTCGCCTATCCTCTCGGCACCCACCACCATCCGGTTCCCGGCACGAGCGCCCGAGAAGGATAGGTCGCAGGCCTCTGATAACGGAATCTGTCGCTGGGATAAGTGCGAGGCCAGCTTTGAATATGTGGGTGGCCTTTTGGAGCATCTACAGGTACACAGCAGATGATTTTTTTTTATCAGGAATCTTGTATCTTCGCAGACATTGTTTGTCGATCAATAAAAATCCTCGTATTTCTTACATGAAAAATTCAACTCGTCACTAATGTAAAATTTAATTTTTATATTCTTTACAGGCTGCGCACGTCAACACGCAAACCGGCGGCGACAATTTCGTCTGTCAATGGCAGGGATGTAAGGTGCAAGGTAGGACCTCGTGTTCCCGACGATGGCTAGAGAGACATGTACTGTCTCACGGCGGCAATAAACCTTTTCGGTGTATCGTCGACGGTTGCGGTTGTAGATTCAGTTCCCAGGTAACGCGCGTGTTTACGTCGCATACCACTGTTTTTGTGCTGGCAAAATATTTAGAAGCTAATCCTTTTACTTTTTTGCAGACCGCCCTTGAGAGGCACGTGAACGGTCACTTCAATCAGCCGGAAACAAGCAGCAGTAACGGGAGACGCAGTTGCGAGAACGGCGGCAAGCTCGTTAGGAGGAATGGCAAGAAGCTTAGATATAGGCGGCAACCTTGGTCTGGTGAGTGTTATTTCATCGCAATTCCATACTGCTTACAGATATACCTTTACGATATACCTTTACAGCGAGACTTTTTGATTACTTTGACTCGGGAGTAATGGAGGGTCTTCAGCACAGGCTACTGGATTTAGCGACATCGAGGACGCAGGGGCGACTAGCTGAAACGCCAGGAAACTCGATGACACTAACTAGTCAAGTAAGTTACAAGCGTAGGATTATCGCGTCGTGCAACGTCATAAAGTTCGCTGAGATTTAACTTCAATGAAATTTCTCTTCCAGATTTTAGCGAGGAGAGTCGAAACAGACGGAAAGACGAAGGTATTACTACGATGGTATCCCCAAGACATGTAAGTTTTCATGTAAAAATAAACTTTAATTTAATTGTCGCATAACGTCCGAAAGGCTGATGATTTATTCTTGTTGTCGCGTGTTTTTTTTTTTACAGAGAACCGGACGAATGGGTACTAGAATCCGAAGTACAAAGCACGAAGCACATAGATATTCGTAAAGCGGCCGCTAGTAACCCGGAACAAGTGAGTTTGGCTCTCTATCCCGCGATAAGCGGTAGCACGCCGCCGACGACGCAGGCGAAGCAGCGTCGGAAGCCAGTAAAGAATTCGTGATAATGCCGGCCGATCGGCCGAATACCAGAACTGACCTAACGAGCGCCGACATCTGTACCAGAGAAGAGGAGCACAGTGTTGCCGTTGACACGAGCACGACACGGTCTGTAAATGCTTCCTGGTCGGTGAAGACGAAGGTCGCAACGGTGCGACCTGAAACACCCAAACGTATCGGAAGAGACGAAGGCCGCTTTAGAAGATAACTAATCTAAAGATAAACGACCAATTCTTAAGAAATCGATTAAAAAATAAGAATCGCAACGTCGAAGGAAATCGCGCGAGAGATAAAGTCGGGATGAGTTCGAGTAGCAACGTAGTAGCGATAAGAACGAGGGAACACAACAAAGGCGGACGAACAAAGGGGAGAACGGGACGATTGCTCAGCAACATGAACATCTTCGTCGTTATTTATTGTCGGATACATCTACTAACGCGCTAGTTTTCTACGCGAATCCCTGCCACATCTCGCATATTTCGACGCTTCGTCGGCTTCGGAAGCGCTAAGTCTGGGCCTCGAAAGTGCCTCACCGTGGATACATTTTGTTCCGTCTTCTACCGCTGATCAAGATCCCAGGGACAGGCGTGAAGGAAACGGTAGTGACGATAGATAGAGACAAAACGAGAGAGAGAAAAAAGAAAGCAGTAAAGAGGAGCTTTTGCGTAATTTGGTTTTGCCAAAGGAAACAGAGGGAGTGCACAGACAAATTTATTTAAGCGGTAGTTAACAATTTATAAGGAGATAATCACTCTGGTGGCCTTAGGATTCAATTAATATCTAACAACGGCCCCTTGGCACTTCCGGGAACTGATAGTATCTTTGCGATCTCCGACGATGTCGAGAGAGAGAGAGAGAGAGAGGAAAAGGAGATGCGACTACCTCGATTTACAACTCGGTAGAAACTCGCGTCAGCTGTCGTCACACGATGACACGAAGAGAATCGAGAGGAAGAAGATGGAGGAAGATCGTGGACAGCGCGAAGCGGACGCAGAAGACTGTATCGGAACTGTATGAGGGATGAAAGAAAATCGGGGAAGGGGATTTTTTAGGCTGTTGGGTGAGAATGCAAGAGCACGAATGAAAGTATGTATGTGTGCGCGAGAGGCTGAGTGATAAATGCTCCGAATTCGCCGTTATTTCCCTAAATGGGGTTGACAGTCTCCCAGGCTGAAAAGCTCGGCATGAAGTTGAAAGATTGCGGCATAATCGGACGACACGTGTGGCAACGCGAGATTTCTGTCGAGATTTATTTCTCCGTTTCTTCATGTGAAACGGAGAGGCGATGTACAAAACAAAATTAAGGAAAAGAGAGTGATTCTCAAAGGCCCGAGGCATGCGCGAGCCAACTTTTGCAGACATCATCGAGCTTGCCTCGTTTCCGCGCCTCCCCGAGACGTGTTCGATTTCTCATGTACTTCATTATTCGCGTTATTTTTATCTTTCTGCTGAGTCTCGCGCAGCATGTTTGGCGTACACTCGTCGCAATTAAAGAGCGCAAAATTTAATCGAGTGCCAAGATGAGGAGAAACGGGAGTAGCTAAACATGCTGCGCGACCGCAACCGATGAGCTGTTACCCTCAAAAGGGGTAAATTACATAGGCTGTGTTACATTTCCCACGGGTTTGTTAAACAAAAAATGGGTTGCAAGGGAGTGAACAAAGAGCGCGACGTGTGCCGCGTCGTTGCCTCTACGATTCGCGCTTATGGCTTATCGCGGTCACAAAAAGAGAAATCAATTTTGCGATCCACGAAAGCTCTTCGCGGATGATCGCGGGGCAGCAACGCCGCGCGCGTCTGCATGCATAGCGAATAGAATTTCATATAAGTTAAGGCGCAGGAGAGGAATATGTGTGTATTGAACGACTGAGAATTGATCCGAGATATGAATGAGAGAAAGGGGTGGAATGGGTGAGTAGATAGCATGTTTGAATGAGGCATCGAGCGACTGAAAAAGAAATGGAGACCGTATGAGACACACTGACAGACAAAGACGGAACGTCATTACACACCAGCTAAGAAACACTGCCAATATAATTGTAATTAAGAGCTCTACGACATAATTAATCAATTAATTATTCTTACTATTATTATAAAGTATGATTGTAAGTGTATAACCGAATAGATCTCTAGCTGACGCGCGAGGATGCATGTAATAAGAAACGGCCGTTCCGACAATCGCGTCGTTGTCACGTTCGCTCCCTGGGACACGGATATTTTAATGAATGACAATTACTTTTTCTCAAACTGCCCGCGTGTAAAGGGGAGAAGGGTGGGGAGGGGGTGTTCCGTGCACGTGGCGTGCACGGCGCGTCGCGAACGCGAGGCCGCGAGTTGTAAATGTAAATACTTAGTTGAAATTATCCTAACGAAACGGCATATTACACGAACCCTGTACTCGCCAGCCGCGAGGCTTGCTAATCGTCGCCGCTTGAGGCAAGCCACTCGCGAGTACCGCGAAAGCTATCTAAAAAAAAAAAAAGGTATATCTCTCTGTATCCGTTGATTTTCGAAGCACAGCGTTCCCGCGAAGGGCGGCACGCATACGGCGGTGGATTATTTCCTTCCTTTTGAGGGAATCGAAAGAGATCGGCACCGGGTAATATAAACGCGTCACTGCCACAATCACGCACTGCCAGCCCCGTCGTTCTCTAACGACGCGCCTCTAACGTAGTATCTCTCTATTGTGCACGAGCATATATTCGTTCATATCGTGCTTCTAAGAAACTCGTCGTCGGCTCTTTTCTCTTTATACGTACATACATACATAACACATATACACACACGGCCTAGCCGCAGCCATCGTTCCCGGATTTGTATATCCTTCGAGTATATATCGTCGTTCCTAAGGAAAGATTCATTAACATGACATTTTGTAAATTTATTTGAAAATTATGACCTAAATTCAGTTTTTACGTTTGAATGACATCCGTGGACTTGGAACAATTAATTATTTTTCGCCCCCTGAAGGGTGTGTCAATCTAAATGGAGGATTAATTTATTTTTATCTTGAAAAGATTAATTACTTAATTTTATATAGTTTTCTTTAAGATCGGCGATATTCTCGTAGCGTTCATATATCGCGCACTGCCAAATTTCATCGAGCACGTGATCTAAGGCACTGCCAGTGAGACATACAGAACAGGACGAGTGTGAAAAGAGACATCGTAGGTTCTGCCGAGGAGTCCTACCCGCGTTTCGTATCGATCTGTGTTTCATCGGGACTCCTCAATGCCATACGATGTCTCGCGAGAAATCGTTATGCGTTCTTCGTGATCCCGCTTTCGGGCCGAAACACAATAAAATATAAAAATGATATTTAAAAAGCAAAGAAGTTGCTAGAGTAATGGTCAAGGTGTACAAATAACATAAAAATTCGGGATACGCACCTTAAAAAATATTTGAAAGGTAATGATATCTTTGTTACATATTTTAAGCGTTGTGTTACTTTCGATTTATTACTTTTGTATGCAATCCTTGCTTCTCTTCGATATCTTTATTTTATATTTCATTGTGTGTTCGAACATTCATCGTACGTTCATCGTCAAACTTTTTTTGTGGCGCGATTATCCCCTCCTTTCGATTGTTATTTCTATCTTTTCACCTTGCCGACTTGTCTGTCGCATGATCTCTGCTCATTGTAAGACGAATTGTCAGTCAAGATTGTATCGATTAGGCAAGGGACCAATCTTTTACGTGAAAACTCATCTGCCATTTCTGGCACAAATAATCGTTTCACGGAATATGTCTTTCTTTGCAACCGACCAATTAGAGCGATCGTATATCAAGACTTTTTAGTTAATACGCGAATATTTAATTTTAATTTATTAAAAAGGAAAAGAGCTGAGCAGAGGTTCCATTAGACATTACGTAATTTTTATTTTCTTTTTCATCATTTTCGTAATCTAAGCGCAAAGGTGAGACGATAGAAAGAATATTCGATTGAACTTGAATCGCGCTTGATCTCTTGGAATGGAAGAACCGCGACAAATGGTAAAAGAGTGAGAATGAGGAAGAGGAAAGCTCTCTTCGAAGGTCCTTCCAGTTTATATGATCTATTTTTTGCGATATAAAATTTAAATTCGAGCGGATCAGCAATACGCGAAAATCACGGAAAGATACGACAAAGGAAGTTTTGTGGTAATTTTTTTTTAGCTCGATACGATATATTAGCGATCTTGTTTACAATAAGTTTTTCGAGTTGCGAATATGTTTAGGTCGCTCATGTATAATTATGTAATTGGCGAATTTAATTTCGATTAAGTATTCTCTCGTTACTTCCCTGTTGTAACTAAAATCGCGGGTAAGAGTTATTACACCTGCGTTGCGTTCAATGTCGTCATTAGCCAAGAAAACGAACTGATTGCATTTAGCTAAAGGAATTTTTTGCGCTGTGGCATGACGGCCGCATGCTCGAATCGATGGCGAATCACAAATTCTCTGTAAACATGGATATTAAAAAATACACGTGGCCTAGCCACACATACACACGCGTAACTGTAGCGTCTTGTGTATTTATCATCGTTTGTACCATCGGCCTGCTGACAATTCTAAATTATCGTTGTAGAATCAATATCGAATTTTTTATAATAATAAAGAGACGGAAGGCTGAAAGAGAACTGGGGGAGGGAGGGGGGGACACGCGTATAAAAGCAGCGTAAAACGATTTGTATACGTCTTTCTAGTGCACGAAATCTGACCGGAAATCATCCCACTTCTATGATTTCTGGTGTTCTTTTTTTACACACGTTTCGTGCATTTTTAAAAATAGAATTGTGTAAATCAGTCCATGCGATGCAGCGCAATGCATTATTAAATAATATGGGCGTACGTTTAAGGAAAACGTTGTAAAGTGTTCTCTAAGTTAATTAGGTCTGTATTAGCGTGGAAAGAGAGAGCAAAAAATATAATGAAGCGAAATACGTGGACACTCATTCTTTTTTTCCTGTTGCGTTTTTTTTGGAAATAACTTTGTGGAACACATATATACGCATACACACACACACACATATACACCGTAGATTTACTTTTTTGATGCGTGTGAGAGAGAGAAAGAGAGAGAAAAGCATTAGCTGTAATTAATATAGGACAAAAATAATGGGTGCGAGAAAGAGAAAGAATGAAAGGAAAGAATGAAAGAGAAAAAGATGTGCGAGAGTAGCATGGAGAGGTACAGGAATTCTGTGGGCGTCGTATTTTTGCAAAAATTAGAAGAAGAAAGCACAAATGAATGAAATACGAAAGGAATTTTAACCTGTGAGATTCTCCTTATCTACTTAATCATGACTTAATCATATTTCATTGAATTAATTATCTAGTAGCGTGCAAAGTATCATTTTCAGAGAAAACAAATTTTATTTCTTCTTTTTCATAAAAATCCACGCGAAAAACTTAAGAAGCATTCAGAATGCTAATTGCATAAATTTTAAGTCAAAAAAAGACATAAACTTATTGCATTAATTTATCGGACGTATAGATCAGTACTTATCTTTGAGTAAATGAAGGCACACGCAACTGACACTTTCGCGTGGAATTTCCTGGAGTGTACTGGCAAAAACCGAGAGGGCAGATTTTTACGAGAGCGTACACAACTTGAGGATCTCACACGGCGTTGACGAAAGAAGGAAACTAGCGAGAGTTGCACACGTTACAAACGTGCGGGGGCTCGGCGCGGCTCTTCAGTTTTCGTCGGACTCGATCGTCACTGTACGTGGATGTAGCAGCGTGTCGATAGAAGTTACAAGGCTTGTAAATGTATAAAGGAAAAGCAGCAGCACACACACATACACACACCGGGAGAAACGGATATTATTTTCAGCGGGCGACGGCGGCGGGACGCGGAGATCGAGAGGCACATAATTTTTCGACCGGGTTTCTTTGCCGCGGCTCCGGGAGTTGTAAATAATTGTATGTGACGCGATATACAAAGGGCCCACCCCCGAGATATGTGCATATAAGTATAGCTTATTACAGATATAGTGTTTGCATTTATTATAAATTCTATGTAAAAGCGTGACGAGAGAGAGAGAGAGAGAGAAAGAGTTCAAGCGATCGCGACGGGGGCCGCCCAAATCCTACTTAGCGAAACGCCGTTAATTCGCGCAATCAGTATTAGAAGTACGTCTTTCTTCCTCAGTTCCAAAGAGTTCTGTAAATCGCCGCGTATTTTTGTTATTATTTAACTCGTCAATCTTATTCGATCGATTTGTTTTTTTTTTTTTTTTTTTTCTATAAATAGTGTACGATATAAACCGTATTATTACGATAGATATCTCTCCTTATTATACTTTGAATCCTCCGATACTAATCGCGGCCCCGCGAGATTGCTACGGTTAGAGAAGTGCTTGTACTTGTATAAAAGTAGGAAAAATATATTGCATAGTTTAAACTAATATGGTTTATAGCGTGTAGAAAGAAACTTGAAGTATATATACGCGCGGGACGACGAAAACTGACGAGCCCACCATAACATTTAGCTTCGTTATCTCGCGAGCCCCATAGATTCTTAAAAGGTAAAGGAGAAACGATATTTCTCGTGCTACGGATGAAGCGGCGAGGATCGGGCGCGACATTTTTCGATTATCTGAAATACCTATAATATCGGGCCGAATTTTGGGCCGAAACGATCTCACGAATTTCTCGTCGCTTCGCCGAGGTCGATGGTAGCGTTTCTCATATCCGACAAGACTCGACAAGACTCAAATTGCGTAGCGAAGAGGGAGCGAAAGAGAGCACGGTTGTTTCGCACTGCCAAATAATAATAAAGGAAAAGACAACTTGCGTTCATTGTGTGGATCGACCGATCGTTTAAAAGCACCGCCGGTGTTCATTAATCCACATAGTGGTTCTACAAGGAGGGGAAAAAAAGGGAAAATTTTTCGGATTAATAGCTAGGAGAGAAGCGAAACGCGGCATGCACGCGGGAGCTTTTCCCAAAGTCCGAGCGAATGAGAGACGAATAAGAGAGAGAATATCCGAGCGTCGAACAGTGCTTTGTCTTTTTTGGATATTTTCATGTACAAACGAATGACGGTTTATAGCTCAAGAACAGAACATTAAAGAGATAGATATTGTAAGAGAATAATAATAATTTCACGGTTGCGATATCGTATTCTTGTCTGTGTCTCTTCACTTACCATTCCCGAAAATGATTCCTAATCTTCAACCAAGTCGAATAATATTCATCTCGATGCTTTTATCTTCCGATCCAACAAGTCTTCAAAGTTTGCGATTTAATTGTCGTCTTTACGAATCGATAATTTTCTTGTAACTCAAATCTATAAATGAATACAAGATGCCAATTAAAAGTAAAATAATGTAAATACGGTACTTCAATATCGAAATGTGAAAAGCTATCCCGATTAATAAGTTTCAGAATTGCATAATGCTGGCAGTTGATTGCGGCGATACCTGGATGCTGTGCAGTATACATCAAGAATCATCTCTCTGTGCGCACATCTTCCGGAGTCAGGATGAAGGTGAAAATAAAGCCTCAGGCGAGTTAGTTGAACATGATTGATTATTATTCATCGTCGAAACATTGCACGTACTTTGCAATTTACAATATAATACCTATAATACAAAATACTAATAGTAATTGCTTGATAATAATATTAATGATAGTGATAACTGAAAATATGAAGATGGAGGGTAGGTGGAAGAGAATGAGCAGGGTAGCGAGATTAAACGTAGAAATGCTTAGACGATAATAAAGAGTTGGGTCCAAAAATTCAGTCGGTCGCAGTACGATTTCATTATCGAGCTACGGCTCTCGATGGCTCTTCTTGGCACTTGCCTACTCACATCAGAGCGTGGTGTACAGAGTGTCTCGAGAAATGCGTGTGCGAGAATATATAATCCCTTCTCGTTTTCTCCGTGAAATTTTCGTCCGATCCTTCCTTACCGAAAGCTTCATCGGGGAGATTAAATGGCCGATATGTAACAAATATTTGAAGTATCATCGAGCGAATCAAGCGTAAATGATACAAAAACCAATACATCGGCTGTTTTTCATTCGTCCGCATTCGTCTGCATTCGATCGGTCGCAATTTTACTACTTAACATCGAATATTAAAATTTTCCACGGGCAAATAAAATCTTTTTTTTTTCTTTTTTTTTCGATACACTCTATATCGTACACGCCGCGTTCCCCACGAGGCGCGAATTAATCGGTAACGGGAATTAAATCCCGGTGCGCGAGAGAGAGTTTTCCAGGAGGAATTAACTAATCCAGACAGAACCGTTAAAAATCGCGAAGTTTCACGTTGCGGCGCGTGTTTTACTTCTCCTCGCGTTAAGACCGCAATCACGCGAACCGGTGATTTTAACGGTATTCCCGCGACGTCCGAGACACCGCGTCTCTTTCAAATTTTCCGCGGCCGATTAATCCTCGTCATGTGTAGGGAACAGCCCTGCGTGTTGCGCGTCGTGTAATAGTGTGTATGTGTGTGTGTGTGTGTGTGTGTGTGTATGTGTGTGTGTATAGATATATACACATATACTATACATATATAAATACTTTACTGGTAGGTTTTAACAAGGAAGTTAGATCTGCGTGCACGACGCAGAGCGGCGATCTCCGGATTCTGATCCTTCGCTATGTGTCTCGGAGATCACGATCGCGATCGTGCGTAACGACACGAAGGAGAAACGAGGGGAACGGGGGGACGGGGAGGGGGGGTAAAGGAAACAACTAGATTACAAAGTGTATCCTCTTACGCATCGTCGTGTTACGCAACGTTAACTCTCTCCCTCTCTCTCGCGTAAATTTTGATATATAAGACTACTATATTACTTTTGGCAGGAATGTCGTAATTATATATATATAAAATCTCGGCCGCGAATCGTGCGTTTAGCGCATCCACGCAATTAATGTGCACGAAACGCCACGTGGCCGCGCGCGCCACGTGCTGCACGGCAAAGAAAAATAAAGCCTCGTCTCTCAAGCCGGATCTCTCAGTTTGCTGCATTGTACCGTCGTAATGCATGCGCGTCGTATATTGCTTTTCGCTGACCTGCGAGAGCTTACAGAATAATCCCGCGAAATAATGATACGCGATTCCGCACAGCGTGTATGTACATCTGGTGAACGTCATCGGATGTATGTTTCGCGTATTCATTAAAATATCCAAATATCTTATGATATTCCGATTTGTGGATACTAAGTATAATACCGGCTTCTTTTATTTTTGATGAATATTTTGCAATATTAAAATTTAAAAAGTATTATATAATTAGGATAAAATTTTAATAAATTATATAATTTATGAGATATGATATCATTTTAGTGAATTATATAAAATCTCTAAAAGAGAAAATCATCATTTTTTAAAAGAGAAAGTTAAGAAAGATAAAAATACAAGATATAATGCACAAATTGCGCTGAATGCATTATAGATCTTGTAATTTTATAATTTTTTAACTTTATTCCGAAATTTTTCTTATAAGTTGTTTTAATAATTTTAGTATGAAACATGTATTCCTGATAAAAATCTAGACATTTGAATATCTCACGGACTATTTGTACATTCATACACACAAAAGAATGCTCAAGAATATACTTGGTATTTACGCTGTGTCGGATCTTGTTGCTTCATATAAAAAAAAAAAAAAACAATGATCAAATGTATCGAAGGAACATTTAAAAATGTATGATGACTCGGCCTCTGCCACATCTCAAAAACCACACGGCGACTCATGTGCGCTCGCACTTGTGCTGCACAAAATGCGATTTTTGTCCAGCGTTTGCGAAGGCGTAGAAATAGTATTCAGGAAGATTCAATGTGTGTGTGTGTGTATATATATTATATATGTACATACATACTCGTAATTAACTTTCAAGAAAATTTTGGACTGCGCTTGTGCGAAGAGCTCGAGTCGCGAATCCGATCCAATCATCGGTGAACTTGATCAATTTCGTGCATGCGAGAGATATATATCTCGCCTGCAAGACTTTGATTTTCATACTTATTCGACAGTGATGTACACGGACATAAAAAGTTTTCCGGCTCAGGGAAGCTTTTCTCACGCGGATGGAAGGAGTACGATTTACTTTATACAGACTGGAGCAACGATGGTGCATTATAACAAAGTATAGTGCTGCACATCCTTTTGTGACGCGACTACGCTTTCTCGAGGGGCTCGTTAGTGGAGCGTTATAGTCGCCGTATAATTATATAATAACAATGCTCTAACAATAATATTAATAATATATAATAATAAAATCATAATACTAATATTAATAATATTTGCAATTACAAACTAGGAAGAATCTCTAATGACTTCGCGAGTAGAGCTTTGTGATTAGGCATTTGAGCAGTGTCTAGACACGAGAGAAACTAAAAAACCGCGCTTGCTCGACATTATTAACAACTAATCAGTTACGTGATTTTCGCGTCATCGTCACTGAAAATCATCGCCGTCGATGATGCTTCGCCGGCAAAGGGGGATCGAGAGTGAGCGAGAATGCTGTAAATGTTTTTTGCTTAAAATTGATTTAGAAGCGATTTGCAAAAACTGTCTCGAGTTCCGTGTTCTCGGAGCGAAGAGTGTTGTATCGTGGTCATGTAAAAAGTATTAAAACACACCTCGTAGTTCGATAGAAACATGAAAAACAAACCGATATGCAATGCACATTCACCAACTCACGCACACGTACACGCATCAAATGCATTTCCTTCTTTTCTATCTCCCTCTCCCGGCTGTTTGTCTTCTTCCGTCGGAATGTGTATATTCGCTCCTTTCGTGCCCTTAGGCCGCTCACGTTTCCTCTACGACGCAGCGAATCGGTTTTTGCGAATCTGTCGGCTCACACTCACGGACAGGGTGGCGATGGACAAACTATTATGGTCGACCGTGCGCGCTCGTGTGCGACAAACCAATCCTCTATTGTGGTGCAATCGGACGTACGCTCACACTCGTAAACTTACTTGGTAAAAACGCGCTCGATTATCTCCTCGGTATACTTCCTACGACTCCTAGACGCTCGATTAGAATACGATTTACTCTTGGAAAAAAATTCGTCCAAGCGACCGCGCTTTATATACGCTCGCGCGGATCGTCGATCCTGTCTTATCGGATCGATATAGTCTAAAAGTTTAGTGCGCTCGTCGCGCGGTGATCACTACCGAAAAGGCAGAAAGCCTCTAAATATATTGACTTCAAAATCGCGATGTATGTGTTAAAAATTCTTTTCTGCTCGCCTCGTCAGGAAGTAATACACCAATACTCATTCGTGCTACGATCCGTGTGGTATCCTCTTTACGGCAACCGACCGCCCGATGCCTTCACTTGATTTCCGGCGGCCTTGGGAATCGCGCCGATTATCTTGACGCGATTCTGCTGCTGCTGCTGCTGTGTTTGCTGCTTGTTATCGCAGAACTGCGGCGGCGGCGCAAACACCACCACTTCCTGGTCTTGGCCGCCAGCAGACGGACCGGCGTTGAATTCCGGCGGCGGCGGTACGAACAGATCGTTGTTCTGCTCCTCGGCGTCGGCTTCGATCGGCGGCGGTAGCTGCGCCAGGCTGACTGCGTGCCTGGTCAACAAACCGCTGCCGCCGTAGCCTGGTCGTTTGGTCTGATTGCTCTCCTTTTCGATCGGACCGGTTAGCAGAGTCGCGCCCCCCGGCGTCGAGTGCTGGTTGTTCTCCTGATTAGCCAGATTCCGCGCAGCGGTGTCGTCGAAGCCCATCGGTGGTCCCACCGGCACATCTTGGTCCGAGCTGACGCCGCTCGAGCTGTTGTCGCCGTCCTCGACGAGCGATTGTTGCGTTTGCAAGAGAAAGTCGTTCGGATGACTCTTCGACGACTTTAACTGCGTGCGCACTTTCTGAATCTCCTCGACACTGAAGGAATGCGGTAGCGAACCGCTGCCCGACGAACTCGAGCCGGATGTGTTGGAGTTGCCGGACGTTTCACGCGCTGCCTCCAGCTTCTCTCGCGCCGCCGCCTTCTCCAGCTCCTTCGCAATCTCCGATTCGCCATCTTCGTCCGTCTCGTCCTCGCCTTCATCGTTCTCCGACTCCGACAGACTGTAATCTGGCTCGGGGATGGGCGGCGCCGTGGTGGGTTGTGCGGGCGTTCCATTCGCGCCGGACACGATCGACGAGAGGTTCGTGATGGACGAGCTGGTGCTCACGACGGTCTTCTTCTTTCGCTCACGAATACCGGCCGTGCTGTGACTCCTGGTGGTCTTCAACGGTTGCGCGTACTGATTGTTGACCGAATTATTACCGTTCCCGTTACTGTTCATATTGATGCTGGTATTCAGCGCCTGTTGACTGCCGGTCGACTTGAATGTCGTGCTGCTCGGCGTGCTGCGTAGACTGTGAGACTTCCTCAGATGCGGACGATTTGCCGGTAGACTACGCGAACGATATCCAACGGTCTTCATGTCTTCCGGCGAGGCGTACAGTTTCGCGCTATTCGACGGTCGGAAGCTCGACATCACTCCGTAGATACCGTCGACTGTGGCTGCTGCGAGTTCTGCGTATAACAAATATGACAATTTTTTTTATGTGACAAAATATTGAAAGAATAAAAATATACTAAATTAAAGATATACTCAATTAAAGGTATTCTAAGCTCTTAAAGAGTCTGTTATGAATCACTTTAATATGACGAAGAGGAGTTATAAATGAAATTATAAAAAAAAACGATTATTACCTTTGACTTGCTGGATGTGCGCCATGTTATCGTAGACTGAAGCTGGCGTAACGACGTCTGGCACGTTGGCACCGACATTCACCTTGACGACTTGTCCGACCGGCGGAGGTGGCGGTGGGTGATTCGGAGGTGGAAGCCCATTTCTACCGTTTAGAGCATTTACATCTTCCTGGCTTCTGTGACACTTGGGCGCTAGAAGGGACGACGACTGCGCTTGCACGTTGAGATCCGGCGTGCTGTGGAAGTCCCTGTGAAGATCGGAACCTCCGCCCAAGCCACCGAAGAAGCGTACTCTCGATTGCGACTGCAAACGTAAGGACAAGGGGCTCGTACAGACTGAGACTCGTGAATACCGGCGTCGTCTCCTTGCTAATTTTGAAAAACTCGGAGCGTGAATTTTACAGTATTTACAGAATTGCGATTTAAAATTTCGTGAAGGGAGTGAGAGTGAAACAAACGGCAAAAGGACGTTGGAGGAATGTGACGGAATGTGAGGATGAAGCGTAATTCCTAAGCGTGAACTCTCCAAGCTACCGTGACCAACTACCATTACTGTTCTCAGCGAAATATCATTTAAGTGTTAATGCTGTCGAATATTGCAAGGAACGTGATTACGTATCATTAGCCTTCCATGCTTATAGAGCCAATCCTGAAGAGTGACTTAAGGAAAACCGAGGAAAATTGCTGAACTTGGTTAAAGGCAAATGCGGCAATTGATTAATCATACTTGAGGCGTGAACACGAAGCTGTAGGTGGCATCTAACATCCTCGCGGACGTCAGATTTCTTTTCAATTAGCAAATGACTTAGTCACCTGAAATCATGCAAGCCACGGACGAGCTAGAAACAAAGTATTTTCGATCAGTAATATAAGTAGTAGTCCTCGTCGTCTCGCCCGCACCAGGACCGTCCCTTGTTGTGCGCTCGCACCGGTTTACGCGCAAACTATAACACACATGCAAAAGAAAACAACCACCATTACCATTGCCCAGAGAGAGAGGAGCGTTCACCGAACGCCGGACGGACGCTTTCGACGCTGGTAGACTTTTCTTACGGGGTATCCTTAACCGTCGTCGAGTATTGTGTCAACGAATTACTATCGATGGGTATGATACGAGGAAAATAAGTAGAGAAAAAGACGTATCTATGTATTAGATTCTAAAGGATAATATTAAAAGTTGTTAACTAAAGGGATGGTCAAAGAGTTCGATCAAACTACTAATGGATGAAATGAACAAACAAACAAGTTAATGGCCATTATCTAGGGCAGCTTTCATCGAGGGGGGAGGGGGGGGCTTATTGAAAACCATAGGATAAATGTTAAAAAGAGAAACGCGAACGAGAGGGCGAATGCGAGAGCTCGTAACTGAGTGGCAGGTCCTTACTTTGCCCTTGCGCTTCATCTCCGCTACGCTCGCGTACACCCTGCCGGTCTTGGCAGGCGACGATGGATGCGACTTGGTGGACTGACCAGTAGTCTGAAAGTGAGAGGAGCTCATCATGGACGAGCTGTACTGACCGCCGGCGCTACCCTGCTGCCGCTGAAATAGTTCCTGGAAGAGAAATTAAAGGTCGAAGCTGAAGCCTCGGTCTCGTCTCGTGCATACAATGCCATTCAATTCGAGGACAACGAGCGCACGGATAGATCTCTGTGATCGAGCGAAAGAAAGAGAGGGGGAGCATGTTCGACGCGCGTGCCGCAAGCGGATGAGGAGAGATAGTTACTTCAAGTTCCGCGGCGGTGATTCGGCTGGAGGTCGGACGCGATCGGATGCTGGCTGTTCTCGGTTGCACTGGTGTGTTCTGACCGGTGTTCGATCCGGTCGACGGCTGCTGTGGCATGTGAATCGATTCCGCGCTGCTCGACTTCGCACCGGTCGACGCAATCTCGTCACGATCGTCCCTTTCGCCGCCTCCCTCTGCGAAAGACATCACAAGCACGTAGCACGGATGTTTCATGATGTCCATTGTGACATTGCAAGATCAATCTATTACCTAATCCTGCGACCATCGATCGCGCTCTCGCTCGCCCCACGCTTAGCGTGGTCTTCGGATCTCTTCGAGGCGGTACAGGAGCTGGAGACCTGCCAAGCGTACCGCCAATCACTACGTTGTTGTTACCCTTGCGCGGCAAGGTTGCGTATTGTCTCTGAATCGGTTGACTAGTTGGCAATGCGGCCGCCGACTGGGAATTCGGAAGAGCGATCACTGGCGAGACTACGGTCATTCGCACCAACTCTCCCGATTTCCTTATCAGGTCGACCACGTGTTCGTGGGAGGCCGTCGTTACGTCCTCGCCATTGATCTAGAATAGTAGTAAAAGAAGAATGCGATTTATTTCAAAGAATATAAATTAAACCATGAAAATTCTACAATGACATATTTTAGAAATAAAAGTAACTTCCTATTTTGCGTTTAGCAAGAATAAGAATTTAAATTAATATCTGTAAACTTACTTGAATGAGATAATCTCCTTTTCGGAGACCTGCTAAATCGGCCACGCCTCCTTGATCGACATCGTCCAGATATTGTAACGCCGGATACTTGGCTGACGGTGTGAGTTCCATTAGTGGCGAGGTGGCCTTGGCGCCGCGCAACACGAAGCCGAAGCCTTTCCTCGAACGATGAAGAACAACAGTGCGGGGCTCCGACGTGACACTGAGAATTCAAAATTATTAGTGTATCTTTTATTAAATACAATCAAAAAGAAGAATTAAAGAAAAAAAAAAGATTGAGCATGAAACTCACGGTTTCTTTAACCTAGGTGCGGTAGCAAAGTACTTGTGTTGCGATTCTCTGCGGCCCAAAACTCGATTTCGTCCGTCCCTGGCGGGTTGCGGGCCCAGAGGTATATTCGTGTGACGCAACCGGACTTCCTGAACGCAATGCGCGGGGAACAGACCGGTACCCTGTCCGCGTAAGACCCCCTCCAGGAGGCCGCAGTCGGTCGCACCGGTGACTGTTAAAAATAAAGAAACAAAAACACGCTTGCAATCAAAAAAATATTTCTGGTCGTTACCTACAAAACAGAAATCGAAAGAGAGAGACAGAGTGAGACGGCTGTCGTCCAAAAATTATACGGAACACGGTGTTAATGACGGTGTCAATCATGAGGAACACGGAAAATCACGGGATATCGAGCGAGCGACGTTACGTCGCCGTCGATTGCGAAAGTCAACGGAGCTAGAGACGAGAGAGAAAGAGAGAGAGGAGTACATTTTGCTGGATTTGCCCGGTGGTGTACCTTCAAGGATGTCTCCTTGATTGATAGTCAGATGGCCGGTGATCCCGCTGCTGTAGTTCTCCACGCAGACCACCGTCGTGCCGGGAATGGATAATGAATTGGTTGTGTCGGACTGCGAGGTTCCCACCCCGGAACTGTCGCTGATCACGTCGGACGCCGTGTCGCCGAGGCTCTTGTCTAGAAATCGACAACGGTCGGATATACTCAGCGTGATGCCTCGTGCTCGCCCCGCATCGCCTTACCGAGCGATAAAACACCATGCAAGAAATCGAAATCCTTAAGAGAGAGACAGAGAAAGAAAGAGAGAGAAAAAGAAAAAAACGGCTAACTCTTAACGCTAAATCAAAACTTCAGCGCACTCGGCCTCAGAAAAATCAACTCAATTCGATTCGCCTATAAAGTGCTCTACGACGGCAAAGAGCTCTAGAAATCGCCAATCGCGTTCACATTCGTCGCATCCTAGAAGGTGGCCGCTAATGAAAATAAGCGCAACGTGTCTCTCCACGAGCGAGAGCGCTCAAGCTCGCTCGCTGGATTTCGGCAAGGAGGAGCCATCCACAACTCGGGATCTCTAATATCCTCGGGGACACCAAAAACGGAAGCATGCACGAACCATCAAAGCCATCGTATCCGACTAACTCTCTCATCGTGTCGTTTGACCACCTTCGCGCACCGCCGCCGGTTTTTGGTGGTGATGGTACATACAACTTGACGATGGTCCGTCATTTTATGCGCGATTATGCTGCGTAAAAAAAACCGACCGTCCGCTTCCTCATGTCTTTGGCAGTTGGCTCTCTCGTGGAATATCCGGAATATCTATACGGTGCTCGTGTTTTCCGCAGTTTGTTCGTGGATCATCGAGGAGCAGATTTCTTGGTTCTGGTCCCCTCACCATCGCAGGGCGAGTTGAGGGTGAATTGAAGGGGATAGAATGAGAAAAGAATAGTGTACCTGTGACGATGCTGGCCGAGTCTTCGCCGGACGGCTGATTGCTGCCTTCGGACAAGCTCGAGCTGGCCGAGCTGAAAGGCGCTAAACTCCTGCTGCTCGGCGACGGCGACGGCGGCATCTCCATCTGCGTTCTGTGCATATCGAGGCGATGCTGCAGCTCGAGCCGGTGCTCTTGCAGCCTCGTCAGGCCCTCCATTCTCAAGTTCGAATAATTCTCCGCGGCGCTCGGCAATCTTGAAATGGTGCGTACAACTCTTAGGGTACACCGGCGATCGATCGTGCTTCGCGCCGACCAAGACCAAGGTTCGCGTGGCGACGAGGTACATTTCTGGTTTTTTTTTTGTTTTCCAGTCAGCCACACGCGGATCGGTCCTGGTCAGGGTGAAGCATCGACGATCGCGCGAGCGTACCGAACGAACGGCGCTGCTTGCGAGTGTCGACCGAACTCGAAGCGAGAATTATATCTTTGTCGAATTCTGATGAGTCTCGGGAGAGGAGAAGAGTCTTTTCTTCCCTCCCACGTGTCCGCTCTCGCTTTTAACCACGCGACTTTATCGCGTTTCCGTCCAGCGATCGGCGGCGCTCGCGCGCGATTTTCTTGTCTATGCTTACCTCACGTTAGGATCTCTCAAGGAATTTGGACTCTGGTACTCCGACGTCAGTCGGTGGCCGTTCTGTTCGGACGGTATTCTCGACGGTAAATCGTTTCTGCTCGATTCTATGGACGGTACTCTGCCGAGGCTTCCGTGGTGGCTTGACTCGGTCGTCTGACCGACGATCGTGATCCCACCGGTGGAGGGATATTGTTCCGTGGACGGTACTCTGGTCAGGCTCACCGCGGCGGACGGGTACTGCTCCGTGGACGGTACTCTGATCAGCGTGTTAGTGGTCGGGTACTGTTCGGCGGACGATACTCTGATCAGGGTGGCGTCGTATCGCTCGCCAGATGAGGTTCTGCTCAGCATAACACCGGACGGCGCGTATTTCTCCTCGGACGCGACCCGAACGAGCACGCCGGACGACGGAGGTGGTGGATACGATTGTTCCGTGGACGGTACTCGGTTCAAACTCACGGCTGCCGCTGCGGTGGTAGCGTACTGCTCGGCGGAAGGTACCCGCGTGATACTCGAGTACTGTTCCACCGAGATGGTTCTGGTAAGGGTACCAGCGGTACCACCGACGCTAGAAGTCACCGCGTGCTGTTCGGTGGACGGTATCCTGGTGAGGGTGCCCAGATTGCTCGCCGAGCAGCTCGTCGTCATCATCGAGGAGGTGCCAGTGAAGGCCACCGAGCGTCGTTTCGGGTTGTAGCGTGGCGGCCCTTTAAATGGTACTGGAAAATCGCAAGGGTTGCAAGGTTAAGTAAAGAAAAGATTACTTAGCCTTACAAGAGAGTAGGCGCAACTCGACCGCGTGCGATGTACCCTGTCGTCTTCTCAGACCAGCGTCGTCGCGAGTCTTCAGAGGCGAAACGTGAAAATCATGTCGAGCGATTAAAATTGCACTTGGATTACGATTCGGAATGAACGCGAAGTGAGAATACTGAACCCTAAACAGTGTAAAATTCTTTTCAATTCCAATAAAATATACTTAATACGTAATAATTTCTATTCCGATTTAATTTCGTGTTTTTTTTTTTTTTTTTAGTAAACTTTTATAAAGTCTATCAAAACATCATTTCTTTCTTAAAATCTGGCGATCGTTCCAATAAAATATCGTGTCACTTGAAAGTTATAAAATTATAAATAAATATTGGATATCTTGTACTGTCTAGGGTTAAAAGGATAAGTTACACGTGTATCATGAGCCGCGTAGTACACGATGAGGACAGTGTTTCGTGAAACAGATATCGAACAAATCACTTAATCGTCACGCGCGTTAAGTTATCGCGACGGCATATATGCGCCGTCATTACCTGCGTTTAATCGTCGCGCGAGTGCTAGTCGCGTGATTTGTACATTGTACATTATGTTTTGTTAAAACGAAGAGTTACAACTCGGGGCAGGGGCTCCGAAGGCTCCGTTCACCACGATCGATCTTCCGGTGTTCCGGCACGGAAAGATCGTCGTGTGGGATTTTTGCAAAGCGATCTTACAAGCGGTCGCCGTGTCGCACACATAAGCACGCACGCACACACGCGCGCACGCACAATGTTATTTCGTGATGGCGACGATGATGGTTATTGGCTCTTCCCGGGCAACCCCGGACAACCAGATATTGCACTCGTCGTTTTAGTACCGACACGTACAGGGCGTCTCAGAATCAACGAAAGAAAAGTGGACGGTGTTACTTCTTACGGGACTTGGAGTTGTCGGCGAAAATACCCAGATTTTCAATTAAATTTAGAAATTCCACTTGTGTATTTAACTTTAAAAATATTTTTTACTGCGATATCGTTAAACTAATTCAGTGGATTTTATTTTCACAGAATTTTGATTTAAAGCTTAAGCAATACAATATCGAATAAAGAAGCCCGAAAAGACCTTGAATAAGGCTGACATTTACCGCTTCCACTTTTCATGAATTCCGGAACACCCTGTACAGACGGAAAAGCGGTAGAAAGCACACGCAAGGATAATGACTCCATCTCCGTTCTGTTGTATCCGTTTTGTGCGATACAATGTGCTCGAGATTACGGGTAAATTTCGTCGGAATACGTCATGTGCACAGACGATCGACGTCGCCGTCGTCAGGTCGTCGGAGTTCACCTGAATTCTTCAAGTTTCTCTCAGGCTCCGGAGACCCGCGGGGACCACGTCGATTCACAACGTATCTCGAACTACCAAACATTACTAGTCAAGACATTCTTGCAAATTCAATGCTGCCAGAAAAAAAATATAATCCAACGCGTCATCTATATTCGATATAGCGTAAAAATTCGATTCACGCGCTCATCAATAGAAACAAAATTTCCCGCTAGGATGTCGAGTAAGTCGTTTTTAAATTGAATTTAGAAAAATCTAATATAAGAAACAAATAGAGTGATAAAATGTTCTTTAAAAATGCAACATAATATCCTATGACAGAATTTATTTGCCAATTTTACTCAAATATTATAAAGTTTGAAAATTACTTATTTAAAATTTGACATTTGTGTCGATTAAGGGAGGCGCGATCTTTTTGCGATCCCGGCAGCACTGATCCATTCGACAGTGATCCAAAAATACAGTACCATTAGTTACTGGAAAGCAATCTATCAAGAGGTAGTGTCGTTACTTCTCCGCGATATCACAAATGTTACTCGACGTCATACACGACCATCACCACCAAAAATCCCATGACAAATGATTGTAAATCTTTACGTTACTCGTCACACAGCACAGACACAGGTAAATAGAGGTACATTGACACACGTACGTCATACTCACAACACGCCTCGCATGTAATACAATTTCAGAAGCACCCTCTAAGTAACTACGATCGAGAGAAACTACCTACTGATGCCTACCCCTCTATATTACGGGAAAGCAGCGTGCACACATGCCCATGCTCATGCTCGACTACAATCATGCCACATGAAAGCATACGTGGTTTTGTAGGCCACGTTTTCTTATCAGATAACATTTACGAATCTTATCGCGTCGACGCGTTACCGATCGCGGCCATATGCGACTTTATTTCAACAAATAAATCATAAATACCGTAGATATCGGTCTTGAAATACACGACGATATCGGCAATAACGCGATAACTGGCCACTACTCAAAAGGTTCCGACGAATTTTAATTTATTATCGAACCGATCGCGGAGATTGTATTAAAAATTATATATCAGATTATGTCAGAAAAGCTCCCGAAACCCGTCATGTTCGCCGTTGAATCTCGACGCTCGGCACCGGAGTTTTAACTTATCTAATAAACGGTATGCGTTCGTGAAGAGGGGATTAGAATCGGACAGCCACGCTGATAGTTTTCGCGGGTGTGGCGATTGAATATGGAAAAATCTTGTCGAGTAACGAGATTACGGTTATCCGTCTTCCAAGCCCGTTCGTCCCATTCGTGATCCCGGAAGGACGCACCACCGCTCGGCGTTATCATCGTTGCGCGAGCAACGAGCCGCCAAGAATGACGGAACAATGTTCGAGAGAAAAAGAGAGAAAGAGAGAGAAAGAGAAGCAAGAACGCGAATGGACGGAGGGGGCGGTGGAGAGGTAGAAGATCGTCAACGTCTGTCGTTCATTCTTGCAGCATCATGTGCCTCGACCTCTCCAAGCGAGTCTCCTGCGTCCGGATATTCGCGCCCCCGCCGCGCACCTCGCCATGCTTTCCCCCTCCTCGTCGCGGGAGAGCTCGATTTTTGACATTTCGTGCGACGTTCATAACTCACCGACTTCCTCCGATTGATAGTTCTTGATGACTTCGGCAAGCTCCATGTTGCCCGCGATCACCGCGACTTGGTACGGCGTTTGGTTCGCGTAGTTGAGCGCGTCCTTCTGCGCGCCCCTGAAGAGTAGCTGACGTATGCACGAGGCGTCCGTGTTATTCACCGCGCACACGTGCAACGGCGTGTTACCGGACGCGTTGCGCGCGTTCATGTCAGCGCCGTAGAAAAGCAGGTGGTCCAGATGCTGCACCAGATTGTTGCGACATGCCTGCGGGCATACGGCGGAGTAGGCGCGTATTAGGCGCGGAAATTGTTCAATGGAGCCCAAAGCCGCATTCTTCGCTAACTCACAACCAGCGCGCTCTGATTCGCGTATTTTTCCCTTCGCGAGAACTTATGAATGAAACCGTAATGGATAAGAGTAAACTCGCTTTACGGGAAATTGGCTTTACGAAGAAATATTTAATTAATCGATAAAAGATAAGATTTCTAATGAAATTGTTATTAAAGTTATCAAAAAGTACACGATGTTGGAACTTTATTAATGCAACGATAAAGAGATAAAAAAAATTATTTGATCTTATCAAAATCCGTTAATTTATATATGAGAATGTTCGCAAGAAACGTGACTCTTCCTTCTATTAATTCTTCAATATCTTTATAAAACTCCACTTGCTATCCAATGAAAAAGATATACGGAAAGAAACGAGCGAAACCTGATGAACTTCCTGCCAGCCCTGGAGATCCTGAGCTCCTATCGTCGCATGATCGTGAAGCAACGTCTCGCAGAGCATCGGATCGGTCTTGTAAATGACGCTGTAATAGAGCGGCGTCAAGCCCTTGGTATCCTTGTAATTCGGACTAGCACCCAGCTCCAGAAGCGTCTTCACCGCTTCCAAACTGTTCCGTTCAACGGCGCGATGCATCGCCGTTAAGCCCTCCTTCGTTCGGTAATCCAGTAGAGCACCGCCATTGACCAATGCAATTATAACCTTGGATGGCTTTTTCAAGGTAGTTGCCAAGGTCAACGGCGTCTCTGGAGAACAAAAAAAAGATTACAAACTTTTGGTGACAGTTATATAAGGAGTTCGTGATATTTTTCGTGTAAAAACATGGAAAATATTTCTATTTTGAAATTTTATATTATCTGCGTAATAGAATATAAATTTTACAAGTTTGAATTACGTAAAATGATTGCATAATATAATTTCAAAATGAATATTTGCGTGTCTCGTTGTGATGGAACTGTTGGAAATCACGCTCTATCGCTCGCGAGTCATTTTGTAATTTTCCCGCAATTGCGCATGCGAATTACCTCCTGTTTCCTGACAATGGAAATTAGGATCCAGCCCCTTGCTGCACATCTTCGCGATCTTCTCGACCTGACTGCTCTGCACATAATCCAATAACCTTCGCAAATTCGTCCTGGTGTGCATAGCCTTGAGCTGTTTTTCATCCAAATGCAGCATCTTGTACACCCGCCTCTTGTATTTGAGCTGGAAAATTTAAATCTGGCGGTGATACTTACGTTTTCTAAACGCGCGGTCGCTGTTTCAATGATTACCGAATCGACTATTAGCGCGGCGTGTCACTTTCCGTCTCGCCGATGTAAAAGCGTGAAATTTATCGCCTCGCTACTCGACGCGAATTAATTATTTCTATATTACACGCGATAACACAGCGGATCGAATAAAACCATAAACGTCGATAGCAAAATACCCGGATATTTCACTCTCCGACTCGTCGCGTGCAATTTGTCGCGGTATAGATCCGCGGTAGCTCCTAGTAGTACTTATGTAAATACATCGCGAGAGAACGCCGCGCATGGCTATCGCGTAAATGTATCTCATCGTCGGATCGTCTCACCTGGACGGTTATAATTGCTGCTTCTTACAATCTACTATGAATACGTTCGTCACGCGTATTTCTGTTATCGATGAATACGCAATAAACCGGATGTGACATAAGATGCTTAAAGTACCGGAGAATGAACCTGATTTATTTATTTTTTTTATATTTTTCTCCTTATTAAAAATTCAATTTGAGATTACCTTCTGTACATCCTTCATCTCCGTTCTCACATTACATATTCTTTAAAATCCAATAAAAAAATTTCTATTAATTCTCTGAAAATTAATACGGAAATACATTACAGTTCTCTTATTTTTCTTAGTTTCATTCGTTTAATTCCCTAAAATCCAATTTGAAGTATTTTAAGTAACTTATATATTCATTAAAATGTTTGATTCAATTTATATCTAAGCAATTTATCTAGTCGCGAATAATGTGACTTCGCACGGGACAGCATTGTGAAAACGGTGTCGCGAGGAATCATGTCCCCGTCATCTATCGCGCGACTTCTTTTCGACGCGACCGCGTGGCCGCATTGTACGCGACCAATAATAGCACGATAAAGACCACTGTGCCAGCGCGTACAGTAACGCCGGATGCGTAAGTGCATCGCGCTGCCATCATCATCGCGCGGATTGCATCGCGCACACATCAGCCGGTTTTATCGCGTTATGAATGCGGACGGACGTGTTGCGCAGCAGCAACCTCTCCGGCCTAACGGTACCGCTTATCCCCAACTTTGATACTGACTGGGAGCGAGTACCGAGCGAGATTTGAGGGTGAAAAATGAGAATTGAGCAACGCGCATCCATCGCCGCGAAATTCCACCAGAAGAGTTCGTTCACTCTCCGCGGAGAAGCGACAGGAAGCGTAACACGTCGGGCGGATAAAGAAAAGCAAACCACGAGCGAAGCTGCAAAGTAAGTTTTTACGCCCAGCCGGCGAAGTATAACGACGAGATGAAATCGAGAAAGAACACATAATTCATTGCTGAACTTGAATAGATTCCTCAATGCTGCGTACAACGAGATCTTGCCCGGGGGGGGGGGGCAACTCTCTCGATTGATAATTAATTATTTCTCGCCGCTCGGCTGACGGACACGCGGCTGTCAATTTTAATTTTTCATTCACGGATTCGCAATTCGCCAAAGTGGCTTGTCGCCCACGTCCTGCTCCGTTTATCCGACGGTAAACGTAACTCGTGCAAAATGAATGGGTCGTCAGGTGATCAAAGAAACTGGCATGAATCGAAAGCGGCCCTGAAATTAACTTCCTCCGACTTTCTGTGACGAAAGTGAGTCTTGAGATTGGCAGTAGGGATCGATTATTGTAATAAGGAAGCTTTGTTGGCACGAGGCTAACATTACGGTGGAATACCAGCGATTTGAACGCGAAGTTCATTTCGTATTCAACATAGGTAATAATATCCCGGCATATCTTAACGTATAAAGTATAACTTATTCGATATCGTTCATTCACTCGATCGGAAAATCTTTTCGAAGTAATTTCTCTTCCTTCGTATTAATAAAAATAGAATAAAATTTAAATCGTTTTTACTTCTCTCATTTTTGTAACTTACTTAACCTATTAATTTTCAATTTTAAATGTCGTTAAAGATTAAATAATCGCCTAAATTAATAAGGTAATCACGTTAAACGTTCTATACTACGAAGAGATTATTATATTAAATCTTGCGACAGTTTGTCAAGATAATGGCCAGCAACGCCATTGTTAATTAAATAATAACAAGCAGATCTTGATGAAACGTGATACCCGTTAAGAACGCCTATGTTTACCGAGAGAATACAGTCCCGCTGTAAGGGTATTATTGTTAAGGCTCAGATCTCTGCGACATATCCACAGACTTATGGTTTTCAAAACCACGGCGCCCATTGTCCGGTGGGGATCCCGCTGACAGGCGTTCGTTAAACGTGAGTTTTTCGCCGACGGGCCCCATGTAATTTGTAACTCGTGCGAGGTGAATGCGGCTTAAAGACGGCTCAAAGAAGCTGTATGAGTCAGCCGTCCCTGAAAGTGAATCTCCCGCGACGAAGCGGGGACGGTGCAGCTGGCACGGTGGAACCGATCGGGATCGGCCGAAGAAGAAGAAGAAGAAGAAAAAGAAGAAGAAGAAGGCAAAGAAGAAGACAACTACGACGAGGATGCAGAGGGAACTCGACGAGGTGGATGGTGATGAGAACTAGCACCGGTTACGCAAGAAAACCGCGGGATAGGATCCAGATCTCGTTAACCCGGGACCGGATTATTTGTTTTTCGCGAATCCCCGTTTCAACAGTCATCGCCGGTCGAGCCGTGCAAGAGCGCGAGCGCGAGCGCGCGCGCGTGGATTCGTCGCACCACGACCACCGAGTGATTTATGTATAGCGAGGATAGCGAGGATCATCGCGATGATTAATTACATAATACGTACTTCCGCGACCTCTCTCTTTCCATTACGTTACGGAAATGATTACCGTTTCGCAGGATCTTTAATAGGAAATTAAAGATGTCGTATATATATGAAGAAGCTGCATCTATTATCTTTCTAAAACTGGCTCACAAAAAAATTCAATCGAGCCAGTAAACAGTGCAAAAAAAGTACAAGCCTCATTTACGGATATATTATCGACAAACAATTATAATTATGACAAAATAACTATAAGTGTTTTTTTTTTATTGCTCAAATAAATCTTATTTAGGAAGGTCATTCCAGATTAACAAATATTACTTTTTTTTATAATTATATTCTTTTAATGTAAAATCTTCATTTCGGCATATTTTGGTCATCTGCTAAAAAATTCCCATCTTCTCACTATTCAACTTAGAAACGTAATTAGATCCTATCAGGCGTGAAGTGGGTCTGCTGACAGCCTTAATGCGCACGCGAGGAAGTTACTTAACCCTTCCGTTACTAAAACGGGAAGCCTTTGCCGTATATTTACTACCACACGACTACTAAATTTTACTAAAATCGACTACGATCATCCGAGTAAAATAAATATATATCTGCATTGTCTTCTCTCGCGATTACAATAACGAACGGAAGTAGATCGATTCTCCGTGCGAATGATTGCAGATTGGAAAGAATGACTTGATAAAAAGAATAGAAGGAATGAAAAGAGAGCGCGTCTCCTTACCTCCAGATACCCGACGGGTCCATTGAAAGGATAATCGCCGAGGCGGCGTTCCTCGTCCAGGAATTTTCCGGCTTTTCCATTCACTGGCGGGCAGAAGAGGCCGTAATTGAAGCTCTCCTTCAGCTCCTGTAAGGCGATGAAATTTTGATATTAAGGCATGGGTAAATCGCGCGAGAGAGGATCAAAGCGACCCGCCACCCCCACTTTTCCGACTGACACGTGCATGCATGTAGCAATAATAACGAACGGGCACATCTTTCCGAGGTAAGATTCAGGCACATGATTCACAATTACTTCATAAGTCATTCGCTTTTCAACGATAATCATGCTTATTTCATAATTGGACGGCTCGACGCATCGCCTAATATTTACATTACAACACATGGTGCACTCAGTGTGTACATATCGCCAAACATCAATATATGATTAATGTCATTAATACCCACTTGATTCGCTGTAACTTACTCCATCGATGTTAAACGATAGATTTGAAACGTTAATTTATTTGGCTTAAAACTAATCCAGATTTTATGAAAATAATTATTTAAATACCGAATTCTATTTAATTTTGCGATTTCTTATACACATACATAATTTCCGTTAAAAAAAATTATATTTAAAAGATTTATAATTGTGACATATAATTTTATCAGATATTTATCTCTGTAGAAAGATATGCATTGCGTGTGATTATGGTTTTCATGAATTTGCTATATAAAATTCTCTTAGGCCAATATCTTTGGTATTCATAGGCAGGGCGAATAATACGGCGAACTACTCTTTGCCTATGAATACCAAACGAGGACCGGGGAAAATCAATTCCCGACTGCATTAATAGTATTTACGACGTTCGACGACGCCGTTCGGAGCGCCATTCTTTCTCGCGGTATTATAATATTTAGCGGGTAACGACTCTTCCGAGATAGGCGAAAAGCGACGTCGAGAAACAACACGCGTGCCATGCACACCCGAGAACCGCGCATTATCACCATATATTCCGCTTACGCCACGCGAAAGATCGGCGACGATGCGAAGGAAGACAGGCCAGGCCAACCCGACAATCATGGCAACAATAGCCATGAGTGCAACACGTGCCAAATTAAAGGTTTCGTACGAAAAAAAGAGCGGGAGTCTCCGTACCTCGCCGTACCGATGGGCGGAGGTGTGGTCGACCATGGGAAAGCCACGAAACGCGAGGAAAAAAAAGACAGCTGACAAGCGAGAAAACGGATGTAAGTATTTAGACGGCAGATGCTTCAACGTCTTTTTCCTATATTGTCATAGAGAGCATCGACCTAAATACACTTTCGGTTCGATAAATCGTCTTACGAAAAAGATATTATTTATTGTATCGCAGGGGAAGAATCTTGAAAGATTTTTCCAACAGCTTATATCTATATTTATTAATCACTCGAAATTAGCGAACTTAGCGAAATTATCGAAATTAGCGACGTAGCGCATTCTAGATCGGATTATAGAGAAAAGCAGTTGTACTCTGTTATTTTTTAGAGGTTTCCTCTGGCTGCATTCAATATGCTTTTCTCAAGGTTCGTATTTACGAGCAATATAACGTCCTCGTTTCGCTCCTCATTCGCTAAGCCGGCTCAATAATGCGTCCGTGACACGCTCGTCAGTGGTTTCCTTCGGTCGCGCAAAGCTTCGTCGTGGTCGGGACGTCGTCGAAATTGAGGTTTGCAACACGTATGAATAAAAAGATGAAGATGGAGTGGCGGCCTTGTATCAAATTCTCGCAGCAAAGCTCATCTGTTTTAACAAACTTCTACATATTCTTTTTTAACGAACAGCTGAGCTATTTTCTTCTATACACACCTATCTATTCTATCCGTCAGGGAATAATTTTATCTTTTTTTAGGCGATTACAAAACGTGATGTGGGTCATTATGAAAAAATAAATAATACAAGTTGAATAAATTTAAAGGAAATATTTCTGTAAGAATCTCCAAGTTCGCACCTTTCTTGATTCATTGATCAATGCAATGTAAAATCCAACTTGCCTAATTGGCGTAAATTGAGTAAGACAAGACGCACATAATTTCACGGAGCCAAATCGAAAGAGAGCTACGCAGGGACGCAAGCATTGTTCATTCGGGTGAGGCTCGCGAGTGGTTCGCCTCCGTCACTCATGACATCCTGGACAAAAATGAAGCAGTCCTGCCAAACCGGCGCTCCTACTCTAATTAGTGCCGCGGTAATTGCTTCATAAAGTCCCAAGAGGCGGCATAATCGCACTATAGCGAAACGTGCCTCGAGTTTCTTCGATTACCCGGGGAACGGGTGAGAGGCAAGGTCATAGGAAACCGAGAGCGGAAAAAGTCAATGATCGACGATTAAAGTAGAATCGAGTAGAATTGATTACCATTATCATCCTGTCTCGCTCGTAACGTTTTTCGACGATACTCGGGAACCATAAAGAGCCGACCTCTTCGAAAGGCGAGGTCCCGAAGACCTCATCGTTCCTTCGAATAAATTCCCTCGTTCAAGCGATCCCCTTGTGCACGTTCTCTAGAGGAATTTCCCGATTTTATCGTAAATTCTTTTGCGCGATGTATTAATCTCTAAGGAAGCCTACGCTTTCATGAAGATACAGAGCTCGTTTTCGAGCAGACAGTTGTTTGCGTAGCGTGGATCGCTCTTTAAGGCAACTTCTGTGGTCCGCATCGCGGCCTCGTCGATACTCTCGAGGATTCGCGAGCGAAAAATAGCCCCTCGGTATAGCTCGGGCGCATTTTTCCGCTCTTCCCTTCTGACACGCGCGCGCGTGCCGCGACCTAGGCGAGGTATGCACGAGAAAGAGGGTCGCCGCGTTAAACGGCGCGGGACCCTTTTGTACGGCCCTGTATGGGAGAATAATGGCCGAACCGTGTCTCAATCGTGCTTTATGGGATGTAATTGCGGTCTGGCGAGGGGGGGCCAGCCTCGCCGATGTTTAAGCTCGGCCTGGCCAGCGCCCGCGTTCGTTCGCTCGCACACGAGCAGCGCGGCGACGTGCAAGGCGGATAGGAGCGTTACGGTTTTAACCTTCGCAACGAAGCACGAAACGAGTTTTCGTCCTCTTGGGGCGCGCCTTCGCCTTCGTGCCAGCGATCTCCGCTCGCTCTCGCGACCGATCGTCATCGTCTCGTCGCCGTTGACTCCGCGAATTTCTCTTCTCAGCGCGGCTGACAACCACGCGGCGAATTCGAGGCGCTCGGCACTCCGAATTTTGTTCGCACTCCAGCGCGAGCGAGTTTTATGAGAACTCCAATCGCGGGAATCTCTCGCGGAGACGTGGAATAAAACCGGATTCCATCGGGAGGCCCGCGTTTGTTCTACTGAAAAGCGCCGAAAAAAAAGAGTTAATATATTCCAAGTAAAAGGCATTCCGCTTAAGATCTGACAATTTAGCTTCGCCCATTTCTCTATTTCTCACGGAAGTCGTGCCTCGATTCATCCGACAATAAATATCTGGTGGATTTGATCCATCTACCGGATTCGCTCTTACTCCACTTTCCCCCGAGAGACGATCATATACATCCGTTGATCGGCGCGATACGACAACGCGACGACTTACGATCGCCCGCGCAAAAAGGCGGTAGGCGGTGAAAGAAGGAAACGACGGCGAAAGGTAAAGGACAGAGGGAGAGGGCAGTGAAGTAGGTAGAGGAGAGGGTGGAAGACGGACACAAAGGCGAGTGGAATCATCCGGAGTGCCGGACACAGCATCGGCGTTAAAGAGGAAATACGACCCATAAAATTTCGATCTACGCGCCGAAGAGACTACGCGACGGAGAAAAAGAGAGGGTAAAACGGGGCGGCCATGGCGGAATACGAAATCAAATTGCCGGAGTGCAGTCGAAAAAAGCAGTCATCGAGACTTTAATAGCGGTTCTTTGGACATCCGCTGCCTTACATGACCGCGCATCGCAAAAGGGATTCGAATGAACGTTCGACCGCGAGTACTGCGATCACGCGTAGCTCCGACAAAATCGGCGTGATATTGGACACTTCTAAAAAAAAAAAAAAAAAACTCGTCGATAATCTCGTCAATCAATATTGTCGATCGATTCATTACGCGCCAATAATATACGACATACCGCAATATTACGATATTTCTTTCATTGTATTCGATATCATTGCGATATGAATTTTCTGCTATTATAATTAATATTAATTAACACACAATTATATCGCGTAATCCTAGATTTAAATCGGAAGGAAAACTTTTGTATAACCATTGACCATTAAGATGGAAGATGCCGGTTGATCTGACAATGCGCGATAAGGCCGCTGTTTAATTTGAAACGATCCTACGGCTCGACAATGCAAAGGCATTCTGCGAAGCGCAAATATTTATCTGGAAGTTTATTCAAGCATCTTCTCCCGCGTCCATCAAGCTGACTCACACCATTATCGCAAAAGCGATCGACGCACTACCATGCCGCATTGAGAGATCCCGCGATACCCGAGCCCATAAGCCACGTGGATTTAACTTTTGAACAAAGGTTAATGACTAATCTCGCGATAAGATAAACGGTTTGCCTCTTGAAAAATATAACGAGCGATTTCTTAACGATTATCGACGTTAATATTAGCCGGCGCCTAATTGAATATCTTGGTAATGCGATCGCTTTTGCGTTGTACTTCGAAAACACATTACTACACATACGCATTAATACGAGCCATTATATTAAATATTTCGTAGAAGTAGTACTTTAGTCTAAAATTGAACAGCAAGCGCGTTATAATTTTGTGCGATATAACTTATAAATATAGATATGATTATGAATGTAATCTAATTCTTTTAATTTAATGGCAGTGCAAGTTTTAAAGTACATAGTCGAAAAAATATTATTAGAATTTCTAAAGAAACTCGCTTGTCTCAATTTGATAAATTTCGATAAAAGTTTCGACTTAAAATAATTAAGTAAATAAAATACTTTTGCATTTAAGAGACCGATTAAAGACTGCGCAAATTATAATTGTAAGAAGCTTCTGGTATACCCAATTTATCGACGGAAAACGAAGCAAAAGAACGAAGGAACGAGCGAAAACCGTATGATTAGAAGAACGAGCGGAAAAGAGAGATGAAAAGGGAGGATCCATTCTTCCGGGAAGATCACTGTGAA